CAAGCTGGAGTTGGTAACATCTCGCCAAGCCCTTAGCCTACCCCTTGCCCTATGGATGTGCACATACCCCTTGGTACTTGCTGAGTACAGTCTGTCTGTCTATTCTTTCTGCATTGAGTCTCTTCTGTCCTAGGTCATAGTACTCTGTGGATGAAGGATAGGGCTTGGATGACGAAACCCTAGTCTGACCTTGTAGGGCTAAGATTGTGGCTGATCCAACTTTCTAGGGGGGCATAACCCTCCCAAGGATCGGTGCTGACCGGCTGGAAACGGTTGGCAGGACTCAGTGGGCCTGAACGACAGTTAGGGCTGACACACCAGACAGTCTTCAAGTGTTGAGGGCCTGTTTGAACCACTCCCCTACCGGACCAAGTAAGACTGAGGATCTATGTTTGACGACTCGACTGTCCAGGAGGTCAAACCCTCCCAAGGACGGGTACAGACCGGCGGGCTGCTCGGTGTGGCACAGTAGGCCGGAAAGGCTGAGTTGTGGGCTGAAAGCACAGACAGAACCAAGCTGATCACGTCGTCCTGTCTGCGACGTTAAAGAATTCTTGAGGAGTTATGGGGGATCTCCTTAAATGCCTCCTGTTCAGCCACTGGTTCAGCAGTGACAGCCATAGTATAGGTCTAGGCTAGAGACCGTAGTTGACAGGGTCCTTGTCAGGATTCTGTGGGTTCTTATATTGAGTTTATAGGTTTGTCAGTCAGGGGTCAGAGTCTACGGGGTGAGGTTTGGAACCACTAACCCGGCTGTACACTTATCACCATGGTTGGGACCCGTAGTGGGTTAGAGACTAGCCCCTAAGTAAGGAGCAACAAGAAAAGATGGCCGCCTTAGTCCAAGAGAATAGGGAGAGGAAAGAACGTGAGAAGCAAGCGAAGCTAAAGGCTATCGCAGACGAGCAGGCGGCGAAGATGAGGAGGTTGGAGGAGGAGATGAAGAGGGTACAACAAGAGGAGGAAGAAAGTAGAAAAGTTGCTGAAGCTGAAGCGGCATCAGAAGAAGAGAGAAAGAACGAGGATTGAGAGTGGAGAAGGGAGCAGTGGTGGCACGATGAAGTGGGAGACAGATACCGAGCTGGAGAAGAAGATCAACGAGTGGGTCGCTAATTTATCGTTGGGGGAAGACGAGGAGGCGGAGTCATATGTGGCTAATGATGAGAAGGTAGCACTGGCCGCTGAGCTAGCAGCCATGACAGGCCCAATGGAACGAAGAGAGAGGGAAGATGAGCAAAAGCTGGCATGGAAGCTGAGAATGAAGAGGGAGAAGAAGAGGAGGAGAGAGGAAGTGAATAAGATGACCGCAGCAGTGGCAAAGGTGCAGGAGTGTAGAGCGGAGGTGCTGGTCCAGCCAGATGATAAGGCCAAGTGGGACAAGGTACTGGGCTACCTAGAGGTGTTGAGCAAGGCCTGGATGGAGGAGCGCGAGGCAAGTTGGAGCCAGGATGTAGAGTTGAGTGCCATGCGGTCTGGTTTCAGGGATTTTGCGCGTCACCCACATTGGGGGCGAAGTCAAACGGTTGAGGGACAAAGTAGGGAAGTTTTGTGAGGGCGCCATTCAGGGTGCCAAAGGTGCAGCTGCTGTAGAAGGAGAGGCCAGACCCCGTAAGGACCCAGTAAAACTTAAGTTCCCAGATGCGTACGGAGGAAAGAAGGAAGAAAACTTAGACAACTGGGAAGCCAGTGTCAATAGTTATATT